CGAATCTACCTACCTGGCATAATCAGTACCTAAACGGTGCATTTCCTTTTGTATTTTCAACACAAAGGTCCTTCTTTCTCATTACTCCTTCTAGTTTGTTTTGTCTCAATTAATTTTAAAACCAGCAGAAAAACCAATCAAATTAAAAAAGACTAAAAAGAGAGTTAGAAAGACATACAAAAAGGAAAAAAAAAAAAAAAAAAAAAGGCAGCTATATTGATTGCGGAAGGTGAGAAAAGCAAAAGAGGAACAATTGAAAGGAGCTTTTTTAAGGGTGCAAGGCGAGGAAAGGAAAGCTGTGCTAAAAAGGAGAAAGAAAGAAAATCAGATAAATAATTAAGGATATAATTAGTAAGACTTGCTGTAGTACATTACGGGGAAAAACAAGACAACGCAAAAAATGGGAAGATTTGGTCGAGTATCTTTTAGTCACTAGGCTTTGATGCCTTTTTCTTTCCATCTTTCAAAAAACGGCAAGGAAAAATGACTCGAAGCCAAAGCACAGTATCGCCGGGGCCGTGGAAAAGGAGAATGATGGCATAGTTCCAGCGAATGAAAGTAAGGGGGGGGGGGGGTTTGGAGGAAATCGAGAAAAACGGTAGAGTCGGAAAATGAATACCCACACAATAGAAGAGTTACAAAGGGATATTTGTAAAAGAGGCTCACGGGGAACTTTAGTCGGCAGATGGAAGAAAAAGAAGTGAGCGTCTGGGTTCTAGAAAGCCCCCAGTTGATCTGTTGCTCAAGTGCAGGCCAATGGGTGCTTGCATCCAACGACGAACGCGATACAGAGGGTAGAAAATAAAAACGCTTCCGACGAACGACTGAGATAACTACCTAGAATCACCATAGGAAAACCTCTAGTTATAGCCGTTCATTGCCACCCTTTGAGAGCCCTTGCTCAATTCTCGGTCTGCGGAGGGGCTAATGGGTCGGCTGCCAGAGTGAGCTGTAGCGCTGCTCTCCTTCAGGGCCAGCAGCTGTTTCGCGCGGAAGGTCTCGTAGTGGATCTGGCTGGTGGTCTCGATCAGATCCTGGAGGTGGGTGCGCGTGAGGAAGTTGCGGAGGTAGACGAATTCGCAATGGTTCTCGTCTTCGACGTTTATTACGCCCCAACGGTTCTGGCGGCCACGGACTTGCTTACCACCAACGATGATGGATTTCTCGCTTCCAACAACTGCGAAGGGAATGATGTCCTACAAGGTTATTTGTTAGACTGGGAATTTATTCAAACAAGGTGAAAAGGTTTTTTTTTCCTACCTTGATTTGAGCGTTGACGGCACGCTCTTCATCGTCCAATTCATCGTTATCATAAGGGTACATCTTCAAGTTATGGAAGGAGAATTCCTCCTTGATTCTCTCCTTGAACGCCAGTCGCTCTTCTAGGGTCAAAGAATCGGATTTGGCAATGACAGGCACAACATTGACAACATCAGATAGCTTCTTCAAAACGACAATATCAATTGGTTTCAGACTAATTTCATTTTTAGTATTTTTTTCCACGACCCTTTCAAAAGCGTGGGCAAATAGAGACGTACGCATGTCCAGAAGGCTGGATAAAGAACAAGCAGCAATGGATACGTGTATCCTGGATGTAGCGTTCCCGCTGAGCAGTAAGTTCCTTCCTGAGATAGGCGGAGTGCTGATCCTTGATGTACTTGACAATTGGGTCCCAGCTGCAGAGATATGAGTCAGCAAACAGTTCCAACAATATTCATACTTCTTATCGCATTTACCATCTATCATTGTTAACCTGGTCACCATAACCGGGGGTGTCGACAATGTTCAACCGAAGACGTACGCCGTTCTCTTCGATGACTGTCGAGTAGGAGATATCATAAGTATCTATGTATATATATTTGCAAATTGGAGAGGAGGGAACGTACTATGGGAGACAGCTTGAATTTCGGTGGTTGAACGCACAGGCTCATCTGGTCTCAAACGCCCCTTCGAATCGATCAGGTGGGAGGCGAAGATGGTATTGATCAAGGTCGATTTGCCCAGTCCAGTTTGACCTAAAAGAAGGCACCGGTATTTAGTATCCCATGTCCATTTATAAGGGTTGGAATTGGGCTTTGTAGCCGTTGTTAGGGCAAAATCCAAAAATCATTGAAGGAGGCTGAGAAGTCGAATAACAAAGCAACGCAAAGCAAAGCATAATGCAGCACGTACCCACGCAGATAACGTTGAATTGAAAACCACGCTTCAGCAATTTTCGCTCGATCTGCGAGGTGATGCTATCAAAACCGACATGGCTTCTGGGGTAGACGGTGCTCTGTGGAGTAACTGGGGATTGTGGTGAAGCCATAGCAATGACGGGCAGACGGAGTATGACAACACGAGCAGCTCAGAGAATACAACAGAGGATAGGAGCAAAGAAGGATACGAAGTGGAAATGACAACAGCACTGGAGATGAGCAGGAGCAGCGGCTGGAAGAATTCGACGCGGGAGGAAGAAACAAGCAGAGCACAGAGCGGACGACGGACTCCAGGAACTCGCCCCTTATTGAAATCTGCGGTGGCTCAATAGTTTGGGCGCCGGTCAGGGGCAGCCACACTAGTCCGCTTTGGAGATAGCGTGTTTCCGCTGGTCCCTTCCGTCGGAGCTTCATTTTTATTCGATGATTTTGATGATTTCGATATCCAGCGATTCAGCACACAAGGAGGAACGAAACGTTCACTGCCCACTTTAGCTCTACATTGCCATATACGCCACTTCTATACCCGCTAATTCCTGCTTCCTATCTGCGGACTCTATATACCACTCCTCCGCCGGACCCCCCTCACCGGCCAATTTGGCCATATACACCCAACCACCACCACCTCCGCACTATGTCGTCCCTAGCTTTCTCCTCCGCCTCCATGCTCTCCCGCATGTTTCCCCGACTCTCCCTTCAATTCCCTCACACACTCTCTAACGCTTGCTACGATATAACCATGCACCGAACTCCATTTTGACTGTCGCCGCAGCTGCAGCCGCTCCCGCTTCCATCGTCATCGAAATCCCCTCCCTCCTCTCCGATATCTGGGATTCCGTCCTGCGCGCCGTACCCAAGAAGAAGACCTCACATATGAAGAAGAGGCACAGGCAGATGGCTGGAAAGGCTTTGAAAGACCACCTGGATCTGAATACCTGCTCGAGCTGTGAGCAGCCGAAAAGAGCCCACTTACTGTGTCCAACTTGTGTTAGCGGTGAGTCTTCCCTTTGATGTATCTCATATTCATCCGCACAAGGTTTTGACTGACAGGCTGGTGGCTCTGAAGAAATAAAGCAAGAATGGAGAGAGGCGGAGAAGAAGGCGGATAAAAGCTCGTGAATTTATTTTATTTCCACTCTCTCAGTGTATTATCATTTTTCTTTCGGAGGGAAGGTATAGATAAATAGCACCTGTGTTGAAACGTCTGAAAAAGGACTATCGTGTGTGTATGTGTGTCATGGGCATAGCATTTGGCGTTTTGGTTTTTTGATATCACGATTCAATTGAATTTTTAAAGTGTACTGTACAAACCAGCTGGTCTTTCTGGATGGTTATCGATGCCACCAATGGGCTCTCAGAGGATAGAGAATCTAGATATTTAACTGTAAATAATTTATACATATTATTGCTTTTAAAGTTAATGGATCTCTAATATTAATAGTGATCTGATCGGATGTGTCATACTTTGTACTTGAATGATGTGTGGCCATTACTAGTGATTCACAGCACTTTTAGGAACGTCAACTTGATATAGATCAAATTCCATACGTAGCCCAAGCATAAACCATACCACACCACACATACCACCATGACAAAATAGTCCCAAGTTTATAAACATGGTAAGCAATCTTCTAAAACCTACGTATAAATCTGGCCAAACATAAATCCGTTCTAATACACATGACGGTAACAATAGTCAAAGCAATATTTGACCCTTCATACAATCGATCAGGGTAAACTCTATCCCCTCCTGCCTCCTCTCTGCTATACCCAAAACCTCAAAATACATACATATATATCTATAATTTCCAAGCTAACTAAAAAAACATTATCAGCGCACCCCCTTGAAATCTTCTCCTTAGCTTTAACTTCGAGCCAACTGATATCCTGCTCAGGAGCATCGTCGCTCAAAGTCCACTCAACCACCGAGCCAGATTTCCCCTTAGTCCAATCCATCGACGGCGCGCACAAGATCGGCTGCCACCACCTGGCTGCAAGCAGGGATGGTACAAGGCTTGTGAGTGTTGGATTTGGCGGGGAGGTTAGGGTGTGGTCTTCTCTTGCTGGTGGGGTGTGGGTGGCTGATGAGGGGATAGGCGATGCAGTGGGTGGCGGGAAGGGTGGTATGTTATAAACCAACCCAGTTTTTACAGCTGCTTTTCATTTCCTTCTTCTTCTTCTTCTTCTTCTTCTTCTTTTTTTTTTTTTTTTTTTTTTTTTTTTTTTTTTTTTTTTGATATGATTGAGCTAATATTATATATCCAATGCAGAAAGTAAGTTGAAAGTCAGCGGGATATGGGCCGCCGCGCTCTCTGTGGATGGCGAGTATCTTGCTGGCACGACCTTGGATGGGCATATCAAAGTCTGGCACATCGATGGGGCCGGGAAGGGTAATAACGTGTCCCAGATCCGCGATCTGGAGACGAAGGGTAGCTTTGGGATGTGTATTGATCTGGTACGTGCACAGGCAAGCGAGTCCAGTATGCCTTGAGTTCAGATAATGGAGCGTATTCCTTTCGCATTATCACTTTCTCACCCGAAAGCTCGACACTGACCACCCTTCAATAAATTTTGATCGTTCTGTCATTTTGATACATATTCTTGCTTCGAAGGGTCTATGGCTTACATGTTAAATGCTCCATATTATTCCCTCCCCTAGTCCGCAGACGGCAGCCTGACAGCATCTGGCCACGCGAATGGGAACATCTTTATGTTCCGCAATGAGACAGGGCGGATGATACATTCCCTGTCGGGTACGTAGAATGGAAGCCGTACCTCCCCACCTACTAGGTTCAATAACTACAAACTCCTGGACAAAGTACTAACGAGATTTCCAATAAAACAGGTCTAGCCTCCCCCGTTCGAGCTGTATCATTCTCCCCTGGGAGTAAACTTCTCGCAGCAGCAGGCGACTCTCGAGTAATCCAGCTGTATGAGACGTCTTCCGGTGAGCAGGTAGCCATGTTAACAGGGCATGGGTCCTGGATTACTTCTCTGGACTGGAGTCATTCGGGTGAATTCCTTTTGAGCTCGTAAGCATTTGTATTTCTCTTTCTCTCTCCCAAACCCCCCCCCTCCTCTCTCTCTCCCCTCTCCCTTCCCTCTCTTGTGTGTTTCCCTCGCCCACTATTTTCATTTTTTATCTATCAGATTTCCATCCGATTCCATACATAGTCTGCTCTCATCATTAACTTAGTGTTTTTTCAAATCCTGGCAGAGCCCTTGATGGAAAAGTTAAAGTGTGGTCGATTGAACGGAGGGTGTGCGTGGCCACGCACTCTGAGTCCGATGCGGCCATATGGAGTGCGAAGTGGTTGCCAAAAGTTGGAGGGTCGGCAGAGAAGTTTGTTACAGCGAATGCTAAGGGGGGCATTACTTTTTATCGTGAGGCTACGGGGGGATGAGCATGAATAAGTAACTGAACGGGGCGGGATGATGAGTATTTTGCAAGATATTCGTCGAAAACAAGGGAAGAGGGTATGAAAAATACTACTTTTCGTTGGAGGCGATATGACAAAATAGAATTAATAGGAGGAATTCAAAAGGGCGAAACCAAATAAATACATGAAAGGAAAAACTAACGCCCCATGCCCCTTGTCGTCAATAATGAATAAAATATAGTCATCAACTCGTTCCCTCCGAATAGAACACCAATCTCATAATAATCATGGACAAAGAAGGGGAAAAGTAGACAGAATATGCTGAATCCCCTCACTTCATAGCCGCCACAAACAACCTCCTCATCCTCTTCAAAAAGGCCCCAAAATCCCTATCATCATTCACAACCATTAACTCCTGCTCCACCACCGCCCTCTCCAGCTTCGGCCGACAGTGGAAAACTTCATAATCTCTACTCGCCGTCCCCAGCTCAAACCACGCCTCGCGCTCCCAATCCTTCTCCACTAAGTGTGTGTAGACTATCCGAAGCCGGTCCTCACGCCCAGCTCCTTCAATCCGCAGGCACAGGTAATCCTGCCAGAACTCCAGCTCGGGTGTATTCAGGCGCGCCTGGGCGTCGAGTTGCCTGGAATGTGCCTTCTGCGCCTCCAAGCGCTGGTTGATAGTCCTCTGGGTCTCGTCGATTTGCTGTTTGAACCGGTCGCGGGTGGCAAGTCGCGCATCGCGCTGGGCTGTGATGGCGGCAATCGCCTCGTGCATTTCGGCGGCTTCAGCGGCTTCCTTTTGTAATGTTTGGGCGTGGGTTTGAGATTTGAGGTCGAGGATTTCGATGTCTTTTTGTTTTAAGCGACGGTCCTCTGTGGATATAAATGATGGATACTGTTATTAGGATTCTCTACTATTGAAGAGCAAGAGAAGCATGTTGATGAAAAGTAATTTTTGCCATGGATCGCATTAAAAAGACCATGGTCACACACACACCTTGCAGTTC